TAATGGTAGGAAAAGACTCAGTCAATCAATCAATCAATCAGTCAATCAATCTATCAATCATGATATGAGCTGTTGCTATAGATAAGGAGCCATTAGTCTATGCCCTTCCTAGTATCCAGAGCAATGCAAAGCAAACTCAAATCCAAAACAAACAAAAAAAGGATGGAATTAAACTGAAAACAAAACAAAAAGTGGTCAGGGCCCTGCATGACCTAGACTCAACTATATATCTATATTTTTAACATAATATATAGAAAAGGTTATCAAATCATTCACAAAATTCTATAAATACATGGCAAAAGATAAGAAAAAACATAATCACTTCTAAGATCTTAGAATGGCTTCTGGTACATATCTTCATTGAGTAGAAGCTGAAGGGTCTATTATTGCTAATTATTTTATGAAGGCAGTTTCAGCATCTGGGAGCAGAGATATCATCTTATATACCTAACATCCTTCACGATGTCTTCCCCAATAGTCTATACAGCAAGGACCTTCAAAGATACCACCCTGTATAATCAAATGAGTCTGACCCTCCTGAGTTTCCAAGGTAATCTTTTCTTACACTGACATTCATAGAGCACTTATCAAACTATCATATCATCAGTTAACAGATGATTTAGACTTTCTCAGCCTATCTGAGAGACTTTTATATTATTAGGTATAAGCATATTCTCTTAATTCTTTTGCCCACTTCTTTATTTTGCTATGAGCTACAGTATGTCTATTTTCAGTGAAAGCTCCTGCAATCCAGCTGAGACTTTTACATAGTTGGTGTCCAGTCTAAGCCTGTAGATACCCCATCCCAGTGTTGTGAGAAATTCTTGCTCAGTATCAGCCAAGTTTCTAAGACTCAGTGGTGGAAGAAAGCCTTTGACACAGCATCTGCAGGAATGCAGTCTGCACTGTGAACTCCACATGAGGTGGGACAACTAACCAGCAGGCAGTGCACAGGGCTTCCTCTCAGGTCCACATCTGGAGCTTGTAGTAGACGCCAATCCCTGCCTTTGTTGTACGTGATGTACGTCTTCACCTGGTCATCCACCTTCTTGTTTGCCAGGAATATCCCCTTGATCCCTGCTACCTAGGAAAAAAGGTGCAAGATGGAGAACCATGTTGGGCCAAAATGCCAGTAGCCTTGAAGAAGCCCTGAACAACATCCAGCATCTTCCATAGGCAGCATGGGATACGAAGGAGAAAAAGAACATGGTAAGAAATGCCATATGCCCTGTGGTTTTTGAAAGAAATTTAAGTTCACCTTTGTACCCTATACCACCTCCTTAAATGCCCCATCCCCCTTTACCCATTAGATTTCCCCCCACTTTTCCTGTCTCTGTATTTTCTGATCAGATATTATCTTTAATAAACTATGAACAGTTCTTCTGATAGCAACTGAAGGAGTTCCTTCCAGAGGCAAATGTGTTAGTTTAAGATAATCTGGTAAACAGGTTTTGAAAGCATCAGAGAATGACTCTCCATGTTGGCAGCCCAGTAATCCAAATTAGTAGTGAGGCTGATATTCTAGGGCAGTTATCCAACTTGGAGAGCTGGCATCTCTTCAGTGCATGTCTCTAGCTCACTGTGTGACCTTGGGAAATTCACATATCACTTTTTGGGTCACTTTAAAACTGGTGCTTACTCTCTTTTGCCTAGTTGCCTGACAAAGTGAGATAATGCAGGATGTTCTTGCCAGAGATCCTGATGTATTGCGATTTGCATGCCCTTGATATTTTGAAGGGAGAGAGAACATCACTGCAAAACAAGGAGCTGGAGTTGATTTATCAACTACAAGTACTGCAAGCTAAGTACAAATTCCACTTAAACTTTTATTCTATATGCTGGGAAATGAGAACAGATATTTAGAATGACAATTCTCTATATCAAAGAAATATTCTTGAAGATTTTCAAGAAAGTTCCAGCATGTTCCAAAGTCAAAACCACAAACCTCTCTCTCTCTCTCTCTCTCTCTCTCTCTCTCTCTCTCTCACACACACACACACACACACACACTACTAAAAGCACACCTCTGGGCATGTTTAAGAAAGTGTTTGCAGAAGGGTTTAACTGAGGAAGGAAGACCCACCCTGAACATGGGTTGCACTATTTCAAGTACTGAGATAACAAACTGAACAAAAAGGCAAAGCTAGCTAAAGATGTGACAGTCTGAGGATTTTCTCTGAGAACTATGACCACTCCAGCCATATTTGATTAGGTTTATAGTACCACACTTGTATTTCCTCCCACTGAGTGGGCTTCTAGTCCAATTAGGTAGCTGTTGATTGCCAACAAAATAAAAGTGTCACTGCTTCACCGATGTTGGCTCTGTACTGGGTTTTGTCTGCCTAAGTTCGCATGTGTCTTGAACATGTTGAAACCATTGCTGAAGGTTTGTCTGAGAAGGGTCCCTGGTACCTATGGGACTACTTCCATATAGTCATGCACCTCCTCCCTGGTTCCTACAATCTTTCCGCCCCCTTCTTCCACAATGGTCCCCAAGCCTGGGTGGGTGGACCTCAATATAGGAGACCTGTCCAAAGACCCATACTCTGCCAACTCTTATTCTCTGCATCTTGCCCATTTGTGTTCCTGGCCCTCTGTTTCCTGAGGGAGCTTCACTGATGAGAACTGAAAGATGCATTAGTGTCCGCTTCATCTGTTGTCCTATCTTCTGTGAGTCTTAGGTAGAGAAATTGCATCCTAAATGTGCCACTTAGGCTTGGGCAAGCCACACACATAAGACAGGGAGAGAAAGAAGAGATACAAATAGTGCCTAGCTAGTATTAAAAAACCAGAGGGGATCATATTAGTCCAAAAACCTACCAAAAAATTACACATACACTAGCCCTACATGAGTCCATGAATATAGCTGAAGACTACATAACAAGAAACAGTGCCAGACAGGAGAAACCTTCCTTTGAGTTGTTGGCCAGGGTGATCCAAGACACTCCTAAAATTACACAGGCTATTGCCACAGTTCTTGATTGCCTCCTAGAACTTGATGGTAAGACCCTATTGCTGAAGACAAGACATACTTTGTATACAGGATTTGGAGCAATGGAGCTAGAACTGACTTATAAGCCACCTCCCCTGAAGGCTAATTCTCTTAGCTTTGTAGAGTACTATGCACACTGTTAAGGGAGATCAATGGATGGTCCAACCCTAGATTCAAGGCCTAAAAATCATATCAATGACTAGCACAGCAAATGACATTGGTGAAGTAGTGGCACTCTTATCTTAGAGGTAATCAACAGCTAACTAATTGGTCTTAAAGCCCACTCAATGGGAGGAAACTCATGTGTGGTACTGTAAACACAGCCAAATACACATAGCTAGAGAGGTCATAGATCTTAGAGAAAACCCAAGGCTCTCATATCTCTAAACAAATTTAATTTCTCACTATGTGAAAAATATGGATCCTTAAATTTACAGACAAGTAGCCCAGTCACCCCATCAAAGTAGCTTCTTTTTCAACAGACAGAGATTATTACAGAGTTACACCACTGGACACACACAGAAACCCCAATCTTATCTGAAGAAATATTGGCAACTGATTGCTGCTAGGTCAAGAAGAGCTGATATTCCTAAAGCAAGGGACTGTAGATAGGCTGACTAGACCTCAGTGGATAGACTTGCACTGGGGAACATCTGGGGACACAGACTTGACACAGGGATGACAGAGTATATAGGCTCCAGTTAAGGGGCTATGAGAGAGTGCCGGTGGGGACAGGGGTATAAAGATGATTACGATGGTTTGAGATGTTCTGTATGAAATACACAAAAATCCAATAAAAGCATTTTAAAATGTAGATGAGTTACATAATTTTCACAGTGTAAGAGGC